CTAACACCTTAAATTCATTTTGCCGTCTTTGCACTCTATATAAATGGAATCATACAGCACGTGCTCTTTTATGTCTGGCTTCTCTTGCTCAACATTGCATTTGTGTGATTCACCACGTGTGGCTCAAGCCTGTTCATTCCCCCTGCAGGAGCGTGCTCTCCCTGTCTGCATTGACACCCTGCACGGTCGTTCCACGCTCGGGCACACCGGCCAGGCACGCCGGTGTGGGGATAGGGGACCGGATGGTGGCACAGCAGCAAGACACAACACTATGCAAGGCTGACGCACGTGGGGAGGCTCTAGGTTCACCTCTAGAGACCTCCCTGAGTACTCTGGGCACGTCCGTGCCCAGGATCCAGGGCTGGCTGAAGCTGCAGGTGGACTGTGGCCTGAAAACCCTGATGGGGTGCTGTTTCTCTCTCATAGAAGAAAGAAACTTAAGAAAAAAAAAGATGTATGGTCTTCCTTCACCCACAGGGCACTGGATGTCACTCAAAAAGTGACCTAAACCAGGGTCACCATTCTGGGGTCATTATTAATGGTGTACCAGCAGCCTGGTGACGACATGCTAGGGGAACAACAGGGCCCAGAAATCGCTGCCTGAAAAAGAAAGAAAAAAAAAAATCTCTCAATGTCTATGTAAAATGAGAGTAAAGAGGCGATTTTATTCTATGTTATTAGGCAACAAAGACCGAAAAGCCCCTGGAAGCCTACAGTGCAGAGACCTAGGAGCAAGAGACTGGGGCCTTGCACTGCTGGTTGCCATGGTAACCACATTTCACAGCAGGAACTCATTTTCATATGACAGTGACCTGTGAAGAGAAGGGAATGACTGCTCCTAAAGAAACTTCGCTGAAGGCCTCGCTATCTGAGTGTTGGTTTTATTTACCAAAAATGGCATTAAAAAGCCACAAGGGATAGAATTGGCCCAGGGCCCCTCCAAGGCTCTCTCTGCTCCCCAACTCTCACAGAAGGCAACCAGAAAAGCAGCCTGGTCCAAGGCCACCCAGGTAGATGTCACAGCCTCCCTAAGTCACTGGTCGTGCCATTTACTGACTGTCTGTACAAAGCCTTTTCTAGGACTCCAGTGGAGGCCTGAGCAAGCAACCAGCCAAGCCACCAGCTCACCTGGGCCGAGGGCACACAGATGTGTAACACACACTCCCCAGACAAGGAGCAAGGCCTAGCAACTAAGAGCAGTCTTGGGGGGGGGAGCCAGCAGGTGGCATTGCAGTTAAGGCATGGACTTTCAAATGGCTGCCCACGGTTCAAGTCCCAGACCTGGTGGCTTGAAAATCATGCCAGGTGTATGTGTGTGCTGGCCTAAAATCCTGAGAGGAGAATGGAAAAGAAGGGATTGCAGCACGGCTATGCCCCCAGAGGGTGATTTCACACTTTTCCTCTCACTGTCTCTCTCTGTTAAGCATACACGCCCTATGGCCAAAACTTTACATGTTTTTTTCTAAATAAATTAAAACAGTCTTGGAGCCAGTCCCATAGCACAGGGTTTGTTAAATGCCATACAGAGAAAGCCAGGTCCCATGTGGCTGAGTGGGATTCAAATACCATCCTGGTGGCAACACGCCCAGTGTATATGCATGTGTGCCCAAGACCCTGACAGAACTGAGAACTGGAGGAGGGCTGCAGCGCGACCAGGCCCCCCTGGGTCTTTCTCAGGTGCATATGCACACACCCCATCACGATTGAAGGGGAAATTTTTTTAAATCAAAAACAGTCTTGAGGGAACCAGCAGATGGCATAATGGTTATGTTGGCTGGACTCCCACATAGTCAACTGTGGTTCAAGTCCTGGACCCAGAGTCTTAAAACTCACACCAGGCATGTGTACGTGCATACATGGCCAAAATCCCAAGAGAAAAATGGAGAAGGGATTGTGGTGTGACCATCCCCCCTAGAGGGTGATTTCTCACTTTTTGTCTATCTCTCTGTCTCTCTGGGTAGTACATGTCCCCTATAGCAAAAATCTCTCTTAAAAAGAAAACAAACAAACAAACAAACAAACAAAAAGAAACACAGCCTTGGGAGCTCCTGCTCTGCCCACCTATACGCTGTGTCACTTAGGCAGGTCCCTCGCCCTCACGGAGTCCGTATCTCACAGGTAAAATGAGGGCAGTAACACTAGAGTCTGCCAGGTGTCGCAAGGATAACACGACACCTGGAACACAGCACGACCAAGAAACACACACACAGATCTCACACCCCGGACACGATGGGAGGCCAAGAGCAGAGAATAAAGTGTTACACTGTGTGCCCCAACCTATAACCAATCCATCAGTAGGCCCAGCAGGAGGAGACAGCCTGGAATCTGGAGGAGTGGAACGGCCCAGGAGGAGGTGAGTTTGAACCAGACTCTGAAGGCTGAGCAGGAGGTGTTCTTGGCAACTTAAGGGTGGGGATTCCTTTTCTGGGCACCTACAGGGTGTCCAGTTCTGGGGATCCAGAGAGAAAGAGAGCAGTCTCCCCACTGCCGTCACAGAATTGCAAACAGGAGGGAACATGGAATCGGCAGACAGCTGCCAGCGGTCCAAAAGAGGGCACGGTGGAATAGGAAGGTCAGGACAGGCCCTGTAGCTGAGGGAGGTGTGCAAAGCTTTCCCAGGGAGCCAGGTGACAAGCATCACGTAAGGAGCTAGGAAGATGCGGGACTGGACATTTCTTTGAAAGAAGGTGGGAGAGGGACCAGCAAGTAGTATGGTGGTTAAGGTGCTGGACTCCCACATGGCCAACCACAGTTCAAGTCCAGTGCATGTTCATGCATGCCCGAAATCCCAGGAGGAGAACAGAGGAGAAAGGATTGCACTGTGGTCATCCCCCCAGGGGGTGATTTTTAAAAAAAAAAGGAAATTGGCTTGAGACAATGAAGCCACATGACTTTGAGCCTTCAAATACAGACAGAGGTGCTGAGTTCTGAGCAGGAAGATCTATGGGACAAGGGGTCAGTGATTAAGTTAAAAGGACCATCATTCTAGAGGTGGAGACAGACGGATTGCAGCATGGAGCTGGACAGATGCTGCCAGCAGAGACCAGCTAAGGGGCCTCTGTGCGCTGGTCAAAGATGTCCAAGGCCTGACACAGAGGGGAGAGGTAAGGAAAAAAAGAGGTTAGAAAGGAGAGGTGAGGAGAGGGGAGAGGCAGAGACAGTTCAGAGACAGGTGTGCATGGCAGAGAATGAGGAAACCCACCACTGAGAAGGAGGGAGGGTAGCTGCCTGGCCTGGGAGAAGTCCAGAGTCTGCCCTGCGGCTGAGGCAACCAAGGAGGGCAACACAGGACCCAGGCAGAAAAGCCGAGTGGGCGTTCCTGGAGGACTCCCAACGCCAGCCCTGGAGCCTGGAAAAACAGGGCACAGAAAAGAATAGGGAAACAAAGCCAGGAGCGAAGAGAGCCTAGAAATGACAGCCTGGGAGGCTGCAAAGGGGACACACAGGGATCCCCCTTACTCGGGGAGATTGAGGAAGGGTCCACAAAAGAGCTGTGGTGGAAACAAGACGACTTTGGGGGGCGCAGTTTCGCAGTTTCAGCAAAGTGGCGGCATTAAGGGTGGAGGCGCGGAGCAGGAAGGAGGCAGCAGGTGCAGGGCGCTGGCTGTTTGGGAAAATGTAACAGGCAGAGAAAAGAGGGAGTGGCTTAGGCCTCCGATGCAGTGGTTTTTTGTTTGTTTTTCCCAAGAGATGAGAGGTCAAGTACATGTCAAAGGGGTGGGGTGGAGGGGCTGGAGGACCAGGTAAGGGCAATTTCCCCGCGCTCTCGCCAGGGTCTCCAGGTACACCCACGGATTCCCCCGCCCTCGGACTCCCAGGAGCACCAAAGATTCGCCGCTGCACAGAGGATGCCTCTGCTCACGCACCTGAACCCCCTGCTCCGATGTCACTGGATCCGGCCCACACCTTCAACATCACACTCCCCGGGTCCCTGGGGTGTTACAGACCACCCAGGTGGATAATCAGTTCATCAGGTCGGCCGCCCAGCGAGCAGCCAGGCAGAAGGCAAGCACGCACATCTCCCAGCAGAGCACTCTGCAGCCCTCGGAGGCTTCTGCACCACTGCACCCCACGGGAGCCCAGCGCCCTGGAAGGCCTGAAGCACTTCCCCCAGACCTGCCCGATCGCAGGGAGTGGTTTGGGAAGGACTGGAACACAAACTCGGGGTAGGCCACAGGCTGAAAGAGGTGGGCAGGGCGAACTAGAGGAATCCTGTCTCACGGGTGGGAAATACCTCCATGGGCACACACATCTCTGGGCGCCTGGTGCCGTCGGAACCCCACTCCGGGGCACCTAACCACGGGAGAAAGCCCAAATAGCCAAGGCTCAGAGCACATGGCGCCCCACCCCAATCACGTGGAGCGTTGGGTCCGCACCCCCTGCGCGGCCGAGTGCTGAGGGGCAGTGGGGTGCTGCCCAGGCGCGGGCACCGCGGGCAGTCCGACGGCGGCCCCCCCCGCCGCACGTCCTCACCCGCGGCGCTGGGTAAACAGGCGGCACTTGTTGACTGGCAGGCGGGGACGCTCACCCCAGCGCCGCCTGGTGTCTGCGGCCGCCCTCGCCCGGCCTCGCGCCG